TATTCTGATAGAACTATTTTCGGAGGGAAGGGGACATGTAACATGTATTTAAGTGTTTTAGCTTACTTTCAAACCTGATTTTTGTATGAGATCCAGGCACCTATAAGTTCCTGAGACATGTATTAAATGTTTTATGTGCAAAGTATTAGCTGTTTCTCTACTAAGCCCCTTTAGCCCAAACCTTCTGATTAATTCCAACTGTATTTTTGAATGAATTGGCTCAGCACCTCATTTTTGTGCCAGTATTGAGCTAATCCTCACCCCAGTGAACCTCAGGCAGGTGGAGTTGACCAACTTAGCAGCAGACCTCTTTTCCAGCAGGCTCTCCCCAGAGACCTTAATCCAGGAGTGATGTCAAGGTAGGGCAAGATAACTCCTAGAGGGGACATGAATAGACTGACAAGCAGCTTGCCTGGTACACAGTTCAAAATTATAAGGTAAGGGCATATGGTAATCATAGCTGCAACTGGTACTGGGAATTGTGAAAGTACCAATTGAGATGGGCTCCAAATATGTTTCATGCAGCTGCATTTATCTCATCTTAAGGGCTTGACAGCTCCCAAGGAGATAAACACAGACGGAAGAAGCATGGGGCGGAATACAAAGCAGCTCTGCTTTTCCTGACTGGGAGAAAGGGGAAATTCCTGTTTGAGCCTAATGTACTTGGTAGATCACATTATTCTGCAGAACACAACATGCCTGATGCTAAGGATGGCTAAGGAATAGCACCTGCGGGTTACTTGGAAGATTGGATGTCTCCTGAGAAAGTACATATGGATGGAAGATAGGTGTGCTAGAGAACATATACTCCCATCCCAGACCCAGGTCTCCATGACTCAAGTTTTGAGTTGCCATTTGGGAATAGGACCAATGGATGCTGATCATCTGATTTTATAAGCAAAGTCAAAGCCTGGAATCTTATTAATGGAAAATTTCTAATTTTTAAAATGTTGGCCCAGTTCCATTTGTGTGTGTGTGTGTATTGTTTTTCTTATTTTAAGATGGAGCAGGATCCATGTTCACAGGCCATAACTAGTCCTCAGACTGCCACTTTGGACTCCAATTACCTTCTGTCTTAAAATACCAAAATCTGTTGTACTGCAGCTAAATAACCCACTAGATAACTTTCCTAATGTCACCTATACTCTTTTATGTTTATCAGATTCACAGTTAATAAGATTATTGAGTTCTTGAAATCTGTAAGTTAAAAGACCATGTGTCTGGAGCTGGAGAGAGGTTCAGTTATTAAGAGAGGTTGCTGCTCATTCAAAGGACAGGAGTTTGGTTACCCAGGTTGGGCAGTTTACAACTGCTATGACTGTAGCTCAAAGGGATCTGAATCTCTCATCTGGCCTCTAAGGGCACTATGCATATGTGGCATACACACATACACATAAAAATAATTCTTTAAAAAAAAAACACACGTCTTTCAGTTATCTCTAAGGATGCAGTGCCTAAAAAATATCCAGCAAAGTGCATGGTAGTACATTGGTCTTCACAGAATCTTTTAGATGTCTGTGCCTTCTTACCACAATTCCCCTGATAAAACATGTCTTTGTACCACAATCCAAAAGGACGGTAGAAATTATGGACCTCCGTGCCGTTTTGTCATTGTCATTACCAATAGGAGCAGGAGCAGCAGCAATATTATTATAGAGAAAATAGCAGCTTCTAATGATTAGTTGTCATATATATATATATTGTCATATATATATATATATATAATGTGTGTACTCAGACTATAAATGTTGCCTTGCATATATTTACTCAACTTCTAGATGAGTAAGCTGAAATTTAATCACAGAATTATACACGGAGTTAATAAAAATTTAAGCCATTTCTCACAGGCTTTATAGTTCTTTTTTTCTCATTCAATATGATAGAAATAGAGGACACATACTTCTAAGCTTTTTAATTTTTTTAAATTTTGAGATGTATTGTATTGCCTCACATCCCTAGAGGCATTAGAAATACTACAAGTCAAAACAAACCAAAAACTTGGGGGGTAATACAGAAGATTTCTCTTACATTGCTGTGTACACTGATACTTTAGAGAGAAAAATTGCAGGATGGGCTACCTGCTGCTTTAGAATAGTTGGCCTTGCTTGTGACTCAGCTCTCAAAGCAGAGCCTGATTGAGACAACCAACAAGGAAATGTGTTTAGACATACCTTGAGGCTTAGTTTGTTGGACTTACAAAGTTTTACAAAGTGAAGTTCTGAAAATTCAAGGGGTTCTGATTAGAATGTAACAAGAGACAATGAAATGGACTAGAACATGAAGTAGCTTCATACTCAAAAAGGGTAGAGATCTGTGACAAGATAGAAAAATAAATACTTCCAGCCTACCCTTTCTTGGCTCCCAGTGGGTCATGGAAGGGGCCATTAGAGGAGCTGGAAGACAATATTTCCTCACTAGCAGACTCATCTTTGGTAGGAAATAGTGTGTTTCCTGATGTATAAGACATGGTTCCTACTAAAGAATAGCATTGCTACTATTTCAGAATATACCTGGAAGGTCAGTCTTAGAGCAGGGAAGTTGAGTGTTTGCTAACAGCCCCAACCTACTGCACACTGAGCTCCAATCTGCACTTGGCTGCTGCCTTGGATATACAGTGTCCTGTACTCAACAATATTTCTTGTTTTCCAAAGGAGCTGATTTCACAGAACTGTTATACATCAGTGAGTGATTATATTTGATTGAAACAATATAAAGATGTCTACATAAGTATTATTTCCCTACAAATGGGAAATTGAAAGTAGGATTTTAAGAAGTAAGGAACTTAAACTAAAAAAATGTATAAGCCTTTGGGTAATAATATCCCCATTCCTGTTTGTCTTTCCAAATAAAAAAATCACTTAACTAAAATGTACAGTGATCAAATGTCTTAAGAACTATCTTGGAATTCAGTTATGAATAAGAAATAGTATATGAATAAAGGTGGAAAATAGGGCTCAGCAGTTAAGAGCACTTGCTGCTCTTGCAGAGGACCCAGGATCAGTTCCCAACACCCACATGGTGGTCAACAACCACCTTTCACTCCAGTTCTAGGGGTGTCCAAAGTCCTCTTCTGGCCTCTGTGGGCACTGCACATACATGGTGCACTTGCATACATACAGGCAAAACACTCATACAGATAACATAAAAAATAAGTAGGTAAATAAATAAAATTTTTGAAAGAAATAGCTCCTGCCTTTGGGCCACTTTTCTAAAGTCAAAAAATCTGAGCAACTCAGTAAGCAAACTTTATGTATCCACACTGCAGTAGGCTTTGATAGAGAAGAAAGCATGTAGAATAAATCTGACTTTTTACTGAGGCTGACTTGCAGCCTTAAAAGTGAGTCCTAGGGCCTCCTTGGGTTTCTCTCTTGTAGAAGGTGGAATGATAATTTTAGCCTTGTAAATCTTGCAGAGATGTGAATATCATAAAGAATAGTGGCTGTGAAGTTCTATGAAATTTTTCAAGTGTTATACAGTCCTATCCTTAAAAACCTGCTTTTAAGGTCAGAGAGGTCAGAGATATGTGGTAAAAAATATAAAAGAGTATAAAAGGGTAAAAAATCCCAACCCAAGGAACTTTTGTCAACTGATGGCTGCTGGGAGGGGGAAAGACAGAGATGATAGATAGATGATAGATAGGTAGGTAGGTAGATAGATGATAGATAGGTAGATAGATAGATAGATAGATAGATAGATAGATAGATAGATAGATGGATGGATGGATGGATTAGATATAGATAGATAGATAGATAGATAGATAGATAGATAGATAGATAGACAGAAAATTGGATGGGTGGCAATAGTGGAGGGGTATAGATTGGGGATGGGATCTAAATATCAAACTCTATTGTATGATAATTGCAAAATTTTGATTTAAAAAAAATTTAAGGGCCCTAGAGCTGGAGATGGCTCAGCAATTAAGAGCACTGACTGCTCTTACAGAGGACCCAGGTTCAGTTTCCAGCACTTACATGGCAGCTCACAAATTAACTCCAGTTCCAGGGGCTCTGACACTCTCTTATGGCCTCTGAAGGCACTGCATGTAAATGATGCAGTTACATACCTGCAGGCAAAACACTCATCCACATAAAATAAAAATAATTTTTTTAAAAAAAGAGGAATCCTGACTGACCCATCCTCAAGGGTCAGCTACTTGTTGGTTGACTTAAACTTTCATTAGGAAAAGTAAAGATAGAACAGTTTATCAAAAGTATAGATTTACTAGAATAATTTTCCTGTGTTATGTAGCAACTATGCATATCAGACAGATGCTGAGCTAGATGAAACAAAAGTATTTTCACTGAATTCTAAGGAAGGACTGCCCTGTCAGTGTTCTTCCAAAGGCAATCCAGCTGCCCGTGTTTCATCTTGCCTTCTAGAATATAGAAGGAACATTGGGTTGTGAGATATATCATTACCCCAGAGTTTATATTAATGTAACACAAGAGAAAGACCTAACTCTTTTGGAAAGGATATATTATATCCTTGATTAACTGATTACCTTTAAATTTTAGGAAAGGTCTTATATCTATATTTAAGTATAGTGATTATCTAGCTTTTAACCTAATTCTACCTGTCCCAGGTAAATGATTGTGATACCAGGAACAAACATTCATTCTAACAATTATTTCCTAAATATAAAAGGAAATCTTCAAAATAACCAGTTTAGTGTATTCCTGAGAATTTGAGATTTTTGCATTCATTGAAGAGAATCACAACCCTGATAAAGAGATATTTCTCATTATCTTTTTCAAAAAGTGAGTTGTTTAATTCATTGCATTCATTGTGGATCCAAATATTGAATTTTCCAAACCCAAGAGCCTTTGGCTTGACTGCACGGGTTTTGTTCACAGTTGGTCCTGTACCCTAGCTGGTCTCCAGGAGACCATGAAACCAAATGAAGGGACAATGCCAGCTGCATAGTTTAATTACTATTGGGCCTGACCATGAGAACAAAGGCAATTTTTCCCAGTAGACTAACATATGTCTCTGTTTTCCAGTGCTCTGTTTCCTGTGGTGGTGGAGTGCGGATTCGCAGTGTCACATGTGCAAAGAACCATGATGAACCTTGTGACAAGACAAGAAAACCCAATAGTCGAGCTCTGTGTGGCCTCCAGCAATGCCCATCTAGTCATAGAGTTCTGAAACCCAACAAAGTTATAATTTCCAGTGCAAAAAACCAACCAACATCAGAGCCAGACCCCTTCAAGCCCATTCCTCTACCTACATCCAGGCCCATATCAGTGTCCCCACCTGAATCTGTGAGCACAAGCACTCCAGCAATCAATGTCCCTAGTCCCACCACAGCATCCAAAGGAGAACCAGATGGGAAAGAATGGCAAAATAATTCAACTCAAGCTAAGCAGGACTCCAATCATCTTTTTGCCTCTGGAAGCACTGTCCAGCCCACCCTTACTTCCTGGTCTTTGAGTATCCAACCTGATGATGAAAATATTTCTAGTTCAGCTACAGGTCCCACTTCCGAAGTTGACTTTTTGGCTACAACAACAAGTGGTTCTGACTCATCGTCTTCCAGCAATGCTGTGACTTGGCAGATAACTTCATTTTATAAGCCCTTGACCAAAGATCCAGAAACAGAGGTGCATAGTGGCTCAGGGGAAGACAGCAATCAGCCTGAGAACACGGATGAAAACAAGTCTGTGATATGGAGTAAGATCAGAGTACCTGAACATGGCACTCCCATGGAATGGAGTACAGAGATGCCACTTGGACCTCCACCAACACCTTATCTTGGGGAGGAGTCCTCATGGCCTCCCTTCAGCACAATGATAGAGGGATCATTACCTGCCTGGTCCCTTAAAAATGAGACACCAGGAAGTGAGATGGTCACTGAGAAGTCAAGGAATACTCCATACTCTGTTGAAGACCACCAGCCAGCACCGTCAGGAAAGTCAGGGAACCATCACCACTTGGCATTTACAAATAATATGACTCTAACCCAAGACTCTGGACTTGTTTTGACTGAGGAAGATGCATCCAGTCTAATTGCTGAGGGATTTTTACTGAATGCCTCCAATTACAAGCACTTCATAAAAGACCACAGCCCTGCATACTGGATTGTTGGAAACTGGAGTGAAGTAAGAGATTAAATTTCCTACTGCAGACCTGATTCTATATGGCAAATATCTAGGAATGGCACATTGTTGTACAAATTTTAAAATGGGGTTGCATTAAAATGTAGTCTAATTTGGGCACTGGAGTGTACATCTGTAATCCCTGCTCTCGGGAGGCTGAGGCAGGAAGATTGAGTTGGAGGCCAGCCTGGGCTCCATAGCAAATTTGGAAGCCAGCTTGGCTACATAATAGGATTCTGCTAAAAAGAAAGAGAGAAAGAGGGGGAAAGGTGAGAAGGAGATAGGGAAAAAGAGAAATAGGGAGAAAGAGAGAGGGGAGGAAATATATAAAGATGTAGTGACAATTGCAATCATCTCTATGCTAACTCCTATGAAGGAGAAAAGTAAATATTTACAAAGCATATGGTACATACATGTGTAAATCTACATATTGTTCATAAATGCTAAAGAGAACACATATGATGAGATACAGTGAAAAAGTCATTCATCTTTCTGTGCCTGATATTAAGCTGTAGCCTGATAGGCCTAGTGTGGAGCACCTTCAGTGTCCCTTGTGGCTATAAACTACACACGTCCTATGACGAAGAATAGCTGAAAGGGCCTGTCTCCACATTTGAATAAAAAAACTAATGCTCGGACTGTTTAAACCTGTCACATAATCATAATTAGAATAGAAACCGGAGACAAACTCTAAAAAGAATTCTGTAGATCATGCTTCAGTGAATTTTTTGTGTCCAAGTAAATTTATTCCATACTACTTTTGAGGAGCAAACAGCCTTTGGGTTTTGTACGAATATTTGCTATCTTTTATTTGTGTGGTCAAAACAGGCTTGAAAGGAAATATTATCAAAGGACTCCCTTTCTACCTGTAACGCTCTTGAACTGCTTTATTAATCTAAAATTACATATGGTAAACTTTACCTGATTTTTTATAGAGCTGTACACCCACCTTAATTATCTAGCTCTTTGTTTCATTCAGTGGTTTCATTAAAAAGTTCACTTTGCCTCACAGAAATAATTATCTAAGAATTAAACGTTATAATAATTTATTGGCCCTTATTTTTTCAGAGTTCAGAAATTTGACTAGACATTTTATTTTCCATTTTATTACAAATGATATCCTTTGAAGCACCAAAATCATTTTTCACCTATTTGAATTTTGAAAGTATGGCATATGAACTTTTTAAAATAATGAAATAATATAACAACTCAAAGAAGGAGTTAACAGGATTTTTTTATCCATTTTACTTTTTATGTCTTATTTCCTTATCTAAGGAGAGGTAAAATATATCAGTTAAATTAAGAATAACTGATAACATAATAGAGCTGTTAATTAGCAACTAATATAAGAATAAATATACAATTATAACAATTTACAAGGCATGTTAATTTCTAGAATATTTTCACATATAATTTCTTTGTGGGGGGGTGTTATTCAGCTTACATCTCCCAGGTCGCAGTTCATCAGGGAGCCCAAGGTAGGAATTCAGGGCAGGAACCTGGAGGCAGGAGCTGGAGCACAGACCATGGAGGAATGCTGCTTACTGGCCTGCTCCCCTGGCCCATCACATATAATTTCTTATTTTTTCCCCTTTGGTAGTCCTAGAAAGTAGATAGGATCTATTTCATTTATATTAATTTACAAATAAAAAACCCAAAGTGCTAATGGGTGTGACTTGTCTAAGAGCAGACTTTCCATGAGATGATGAGCTTTATCTTTCCACTCCAACCTGCTGTCCCTGTACTGGGTTTCAGCACTGACTTACAAATAAACGGGTAGAATTATTCTTCAACTCATTGTATCAAGGGAACAATTTTACCAGCAAAAGTAGATACATTCAAAGCCCCAAAAGTTTTTGCCCTGAAATCTGTAATCATTTGCATTTGAACTGTGTTTCCACATGGATTTATGCTCTGTACCTAGAATGAGTTAGATCTTCCATAAATGAATCAGTATCTCACCTCTATTCAAAAAAAAACCCAGATTCAGGGATAACAAGATGCTCATGCTGATAGTAATCTAATTTATTGAAAGGAGACACATGGGTTTCCTAATCCAAGCATTTTAGTCAATTTCTTCCCTGATAAATTCTAAAGGCCTGAAATGATAGAAACTGACAGTGAACATTTACAAAGAATGAAGGTGCACTATAAGTATGATTTTAAGCTAATTGACATGAAGTCTCTTCTATAGTAGTTACCACAGCCCAAGGTGATACTTTCACAAGGTTGTACTTTATAATAACATAAAAGACACCACCTGATTACTTTGAATTCACAGGCCTCTTATGATAAAGCTGATTCAGTGCAAACATTTTGGATTAAAATTGATTTTTTAGGGTTTCTTAGGATGATTTCTTTTCAAATAGTGCTCTCAAAATGTATCTTTCCTTCTAAAACATGCCCTATTCCTAAGGGGCAGAACCAGAGGCCAGCAGTCTTCATCCTCTTTGGATCAAAGCAGTTGAATGGGGGTAGCCTAAACCGACTAAGTTTAATTGGAGGTGTCTGTGGGATACCCAAGTAATAACTAATAGATTTTTGTGTGTATGGGTCTGAGGTTCTTGAAAGAGATAGTCACTAGAGATAGGAAATCCATGAGTTAAAACCTTGAAAATAAGTGAGGTTATTCAAGAAAAACCTGCAATTGCAAAGAACTGGGAGCCAGGAACAGAAGCCTGGAAACACCCAAATTTTAAAGGGCTGACTAGCTAACAAAGAGATCCTATGAAGAAGTCCAATAAGAAATAGTTGAATGTTTAAGGCTCATACCAAGAGATATGGTGCTATACATTATTAGGAACAAGTCAACTACCTACTGGTAATTGATAACTTTGAGGAGAACAAGCTCAGCACTGAGATGGAAGGAGACACCAAATTGCATTGAAAAGAAGGGAAGGATTCTATTTTTGTGTCATGAAGGGGTGGTTCATTAGGAGGCTGTCCTAGTAATCAGGTAGAACCTACAATATTACCGTGGATAAAGATGAATAAGACCCTCCTTAGTCTGTAAGGTAATATGAGTTTTATTTAAAAGTTGCTATTGTGTTATGTGTAGTGTTGCATGCCTGTGATCATAACAGTTAGTAGGTTGAAGTAGGAAGATTGTGACTTCAAAGCCCTCTTGGGCTACATAGCAAGTTTAAGATCACCCTGGAAAACAAAGAGACCCCGTTTCTAAATAAAACAAATAAAATAGGTATTTGTTATGGGATTACTCTTTTCATTAATCCTCAAATCTCAGAACAATTGTAGAATCACTGAATTTAAATGTGTTGCAATGATTTTGTCATGAGGATATTTAATGGATACTATTTAGTTGACAAATGTTAATTAATTCAAGAAATTACTATATCTAAGAACAATAAACTACAATAGAGCACATATCAACTGTGATGACTGTTTGAACCCAAAGGTTAACATATTTTGATTATAGTAACACAAGACACAAAGAATTGATTTTGGCTCAAGTATCATTTGACTTTGACCAAAATAAACTATCTTACTGAATTTATCATAACATACCAAAAAGTTGGCAACAGTGTTATAACCAGCAATAACTGGTTATTACCCAGCTGATTCTGGTAGTTTGGGTCCAAAAACAGACTGGTCCATTGTGAAATAACAAGAATATTTTAAATGACAAGAACATTATGAAATTAGAGTTCTACGTTTGGTGGGAGTCCCCTAAGTGATAGGGCTGGCTGGATGCCAACTCTTTGAGTATGTTTTTTTAGATGTAGACTCATCAGAGAGAGTCAGAATGGAAGCTTTGGGTTTTGAGTAACTCACTGTCCCAGATTCTTATGTCTGTCTACTCCTGATGCTTTCTTTGGGGTTACCTCCTTATATAACAGGTCAGTAACCTCTGACTGAGACCTCTCTCAGGTCTGAGAAACCCCAGAATCACCACTGATACCAATCTGCTCCCATCCTACTAAAATAACAGGTTTCCAACTCAGGTGGCATTATTATTTCTGTCATCACCTCTGTCTCCTGTCACTTGAAGGCTTGGGAGTTCCCAATCTGATTATGGAAGAGATTGGGAAATTAGTGGGAATGCTTTTGTTTGCTTTTATACATTAGGAGGAGCTGTAATTGACCTTTAATATCTGAAAGCCAATGATGATAAAAGAAAGACCTGTAATATTCAGAGGAGTCTCTTATAAGGAAGAATTTTCCAGTCCCAAATACCAATGGTGCCCCAGTAGTTGAGAACACCAGATCCTCAGCTCCCACTCTTGCCCAGGCCACCTGCCTTTGCTCCTTGCCAGCCTGTGATCATCTCTCCCTTCTACCTATTCCACACACTATTTCAAAAGATGTAAGAGGACTACCAGGTCTGTCCTTTACAAGGACTGTTCTAACCATTGCCAAGCCCTGCTCACAAATCTCTAATGTCTGCTCAATATATGCAGATCATCAGATAAAATCCACTCTATAAATAATAAAAGGAGAAAGGGAAATCCACTCTGACCCAGCATCCAATGGGCTTCGTAGCCCTACATAAGCTGACTTTCTAGTCTTACTGTTTTTCCTCATCCAACTTCCACTTCAGAATCTGAACCCTCAGTTTCCTTTAACCTGAGCCTGCTCTTGTCCAGTACCTTCACTCTTGCTGGCTTTTGCCTGGAATCTCTGCTCCCTCCCACTCTTCCTGTTAACATCCTGCCCATTCTTTGGAATCATTTCAGCTTCCCCTCTCATGAAGACTTTCTAATCCCTAAGCAGAAATCAATTCTAGAATTTCTTAGGGTATGATCTGAAGTCTCTCTTAGGATGTGCCCTCATTTTCTCTCCTGCATTAAAAGGCTGCCCAAGGCCCTCACTGTACATAGCATGTCCATTTTACTAATTAAAATTTCAAAAATTAAATGCAAAAACTAAGTTAACCCTATTTTTAAAAAAGCATAAAACTTAAGAATTACAAATGCTCGATTTGAATCGTGACTAATTGTGCACTTTCTCTCCCTTGGTTCCCACATCTATAAAATGGCTGTGATGATTAAGAGATCATGACTCAGCTCCTGAGATTGGTATAAGATAAAAGCAAAGCCCATGAACTATAGAGGAGCATCAGGTAAATAGGAGCATCCAGGAAGGTTTTTAAATCTGTATTTACAAAACAGAAAAGTTAGGTGCCGTGTAATATGTACTGGTGTAGCTCTTATTTTGACAGAAATCCTCCTCTCATTGAATTGCTTCATCATTCAGTCGGATCCCTTGGGCCAGTCAGTTAATGTAGGCTTGTGTAGTCATGTAGAATAAAAGTGACAGTATAATTCTCCACAGCATTTCAGAGCACTTTTCAAATGATGATGACCTGACCCTCAGCATCCAGTCCAGTTCTAGCACCTCATCACCTGCTCTTTGACCTGATAGGTCAGTGCTGCAGGGTCAACCAGGGCAGCCACCAAGACAAAATGAAGTTGCCCTTCAATCTCTTCAAGGTCCTCTTTTCACCTCCCATCTTCCACTCTCAATTTGAAATTAATTTAATATAATCAAAACTCTAATCTATGGAATGTCATTTTTGCTATTTCTGCTTCCTGTGGGATTCTTCTTGTCAGCTATACCTTTGGACTACTGCAGGGTGCCTAAATAGAATTGTCAAAAACAGTTAAGCCAATGTCGGTGGGTAGAAAGGACCATACTCCAAATTCTAGACACAGTGTATATTATTTGCAACATAAATGTGGCACAAAGAACTATAGCCATCATCTGAGAGGTAATGGGATAATTGCTAACGTGGCAATGTGATCTCATTTGCAACTTCCCTAGGCTAGCTCAGATGTTATGTTTTCTTTCACATTATAATACATTAACAGCACAGCATACTGTGGGCAAGTCCACACCAAGCTTAAAATGTATCCAAATTATAGTAATAATAATCAGCATCACAGGTTTTCCATTGAAAGAAATTAGTGAGAAAATGCCTTTGTCATGTTGGAGATGAAGTCAGAGGCAGATGCCCACATCTGACACCACTGTGAACAGCACTGGTGTGCAACATGGTAGAGTACCTGCAGGCCCTTGGGCTTTTGTGTCAGGATCATTTTCAAGGAAATGTACATTTTCATTTGATTTGAGTTTTCCTTTCATTTGTAACTTGGAGATCCCTGACTATAGCTATTTATTATAAAGTCATCAGGAGAAAAATTTTAAGCCACTGATCCTTGATCCAGATCATTGTGTGGGGATGGGGACCCCAATGTGTGCATAGTGTTTAAAAGCTCTGGGGCAATCTTAGGAGCTGGGACAGGAAACCCTTGGCTCCAGGGTCCTAGTAATGGATGCATATGAGAAAGCCTCTCAGTTTATTTTCTCTTTCCTTCTCCCTGCACAGTGCTCCACCACATGTGGACTGGGGGCCTACTGGAGGAGCGTGGAGTGCAGCACCAGGATGGATGCTGACTGTGCAGCCATCCAGAGGCCTGATCCTGCTAAGAAGTGCCACCTCCGTCCCTGTGCTGGCTGGCGAGTGGGAAACTGGAGCAAGGTAATCTACAAGGCAGTTATTTTCAGGGAAGGGGAGAGGGTCTTATATAATCACTTGATAATCACTTGGTTTTTCTCATCCCTTCCTACTGCCCTGCCTCCCTTGTGGCTCTTAAAAAATTACAGGATTAACCCACTAGTTTTTTACTTCTATGCCTTTACTCTTGTGAGATAAACTGGAATAAACTTAAGTTTAAGAATTAATTGCTTTCTCCAGCATGTACTGCTATTTCTGAATTATTTCAATTTTGCTTTATACTGAAAATTATACTTGTATACTGAAAAATACATTTATAAGTTATGACTCAATGACTCCCCACAAAACAGTTTAATTTGCCTAAAGTGAAAAGAAAGTCCAAGGGATGGATCTACACTGAAGGACATTTGGGGACACAAATCAAACTATTTAGACATCAAACTCTTATGAATGACAGTTGAGAGCCAGGCATGGTAGCACACCCCTTTAATCTCAGCACCTGGGAGACAGAGGCAAGCAGATCTCTATGAGTTCAAGGTCAGCATATTCTATATAGTGAGTTCCAGAGCAGCTGGGGCTATGAGAGACTCTGTCTCAAAATACTGGAGAGAGAGAGGAGAGAGAGAGAGAGAGAGAGAGAGAGAGAGAGAGATCATTAAATTGGGTCAGGGCAGTAGGGGTAGGTGTGGAGAGGGAGTGGATCTAAATATCATCAAATTATATTGAATGAAAATCACAAAAATATCAATAAAAATAGCTTAATTAAAGTGTATGTACTTTAAAAAAACGATTAATTGGGAACTGGAGGAATTGCTTAGATGGTAAGAGTGTTTATTGCTCTTGCAGAGGACTCCAAGTACCCACATGGCTGCTAATAACCATCCATAACTCCAGTTCCAGAGGACCCAATGCCTTCTTCTGGCCTCCACCAGGCATTGCATGCACGTGCACACAAGCACACAAAACACTCATATACATAAAATAGCCAAAGCTAGCCATGGTTGTACATGGGGCCAAAGAGGAAGATCACGAGTTAAAGGTCAGCCTGGGATACATAGTAAGTTCCAGGCCAGTGTGAACTACATGAGACCCTGTTTCCAAAACAAAACAAGCATATTTTCCATATCAACATGCCTTTTTCAATTGTTGCTAGTTAACAGTTACTCATTTCACTCTTCTCTCTGAATGATCCCTAGTGAAAGGATGGGTCATGTTTTCAGGTAGTCCTGGGTGCTTTGGATGTACTGAATCAGGCAATCTACCTTTCACCCTGGACTGGAGTTGAGTCAAACCTTGGAAAACACATTGGGGATACAGGACACTGGTCAGTGGAAGAGTTAAGGTTCTGGAAGGTAGCAAGAGAAACTATGAGCTGTGCATATACCTTCTGTGTTCTATACATGCTGGGCTGTAGGCTTCCTACATGTCCCTGTCTCCTCTCCCGATAATAGAGCCCCATGATACCTAAGACTTAAAAAAGAGAAAAGAAAGAACTACCCAGGACGTTGTAGAGGCTTGGCACCCTCCAGCATCTAGATGTTAGCTCCTTTATCTGGAAGAGAGCTCATGTTACAAAAGAAAACCAGGAAGTGTCTCATTGGACAAACTTATAAGATAGACTTTCCTTCAGACAGGAATATAGAATATCATTGGTGTGCCTTACAACCCTTCCCTAAAGTAAGGCTCTGACCTTCAGAGAGAGAGGAATGTAGGGTAAGCTCCTTAAGGAATCTACCACCTACTCTGTTGGCTTCTGTCAATCTCCCTGTCTCTGTCTTGGTACCATTATTTTTTTTCAGGAATAAATTTGCATTCTTTTTGTTTTCTTTTCCAACTCACAACACAGCAAAAACAGAATACTTATCTACAAATACTTTTGCATATTCAAACATATCTAAAGAAGCATTTCATATCTCAGATTTTGTCAAATGTTGCTGAAGTCCTAAAGTTCCACTCTCCTATCACTCACTGGGAATTGACCATCTGTTGCATAGGACTGTCCTCTGAAAGACAGGCTGTGGACAGATGCCTTCTTCCCACACTAGGTTGCACTCACTTGCCTAGGATCCTCACAGTTAAGTTTGTGTATGTTTCTTCACAAGAAAGGAGGACAGGGAGAGTCAGCCATGCCTCCCAACCAATTGGTCAGCCCTAGTTGCACAAGGGGGAGGGTCGAAGGGTATATAAGCTGGGGAGAGTCTCTTACCATTTTGTGTGGCTGTGGGGGAGTCATGACCCACACACCCAGATGGTGACTTTCCAGTTGGGGGTGGGGGGAATACCCACATTCATGTAAATAAACCTTCACCAATTTTTCTGTAACTAAGCCCAATAAACTCACTGGTTTCCCAGACTCACTGGTTTCCCAGATTGCAGTTTGGGGAAAATCAGACCTCAGTTCATACTAAGGACCAACAGAGAGGAGGGAGAGGAGGCCAGACATCATTTGCCTCCCAGAGAGAAGTTTAGCTACACCATCTCTTTGGAAATTTCCTGACTTGCAAAAAGGGACAAATACATCAAATAGCCTGTACCTTGAAATGGTCAAGATCAGCCTAAAGAATTCCAGCTGGAGTGAAAGCCCAAATGAGGGACTGGGGAATTCATCTCCAGGACGTGACCTGCATTCTCCTCCCTCCTCCATCCGGAGATTTTGCCAACTTGACAGTTCATTGTTTCTGTACGTGCTCAAAATTAATAATTCCAACTTCATCCCTCCTCTTCTGCATTATTCCCCCAATCTCTACACATATCCGGAAACCTTTTAATTCTCCTAGGACTTCAGGCTGTGTTGCAGTCTCCTCTGAACCCACAGGTATCATTTGTGATGCATCAGGACTATTCTCTAGAGATTCCCCTCCACTATGTTACTGTCTGGATGACAGTTGCTTTATTGACTTATGCCCCTAATAGCACCCTTTTCATGATGAAACCTAGTACAACTGTTGTGTTTGTCATATTTTTGGCAGGAGAATGAGGTTGCACATTCAGATCTCCACCCATCCAATATCTAGAAATAGTTTATCAGAATGACTTGCTTCCTCTTGGTGCATTAATCTGTATGTAACAAAATCAAGATTGCAGTCCTAGATTTATCCCAGTGGTGAGCTAGGGAAAATGGGCCTCTACAGAATTAAATCCAGAGGCATATGATAGCATATGCCTATTACCACAGCCCTCAGGAGGCTAGGGCAGGATTGTCACAAATTTGAGGCTAGCCTGTACTACACAGTGAGTTCAAAAACAATAAGGACTACATAGCAAGACTCTGTCTCAGGAAGCAAAAGAAAAATCCAAGAGGCAGTGTGGGCTGAGAATCAGGCATACCTGAGTTGGCAGCCCTGCCCTACCACTACTTAGTATGTACACTGGCCCATTCATCTGACCTCTTAGGAGCAGTACTGTTCTCATTTAGGTCATGAAGTATATAATATTGCTTCTACTTACCTTGTAAGAATCTTTTAAGGATCAAAAGGTATGCTAATTAGCTTCTGTCTCTGTAATAAATGCTGAAATGATCAACTTATAAAAAGGAAAGTTTTATTTTAGCCCATAGTCTTAGAGGATTCAGTCCATGGTCAGCTGGTCTCATTGCTTTGAGCCTGTGACATTCCATGGTAGGAACCACATGGTAAGCAACACTGTCACCTCATGATGAGGGATAAAAAAGCAAAGAGATCAAGGAACACTGTCCCTTTCAAGGACATGACCCCACAACAGAAGATCTCCCACTGGGCCCCATGTGTAAAAATGTCTACCACCTTCTGATAATATCGTGTTAGGGGAAAGGCTTTCACACACAGGCCTAGGAGAAGGCCAGATCCACACTTTGTTAGTGTATAAAACAACTTAATAAATATAAAAGACTGCTCTAGCAAAGCCCTGGATAAGATTTGAGCTCAAGAGTGAAGCTCAAAACTGACTACTAGGCATTTACTAACCTCTGAATTCCTGGACTTCGAACAGGAAGCTAAACAGGTAAGTTCTTTCAACAGAATCCTGACTGGAGATGGTGTTCATTTCCCAGGACTGAGCAAACAAAGGATTGAAACTGTCCGTGAACTTTAGAGGGCTTGACCGACTTGTAGATGCTGACATTTGCCAATGCCACTCTGTGCCTAACATTGAAGCATTCAGCAATGCCATGGAGTGCCTCAATACAGGAATTTACAATCCCTGTTGAAGAAGCTAAGGCTTAGTGTGTTTAAACTGCCAACTTGGTGATGGAGCTTCTGCTACACAATCTCAATTCCAATAAACTATCAACAGGTGACAGACTGACACTGTAATTACAGCTTTTCAGAAAGGAAGCACTGCATAATAAATGCTCAAAGTATGACACGACTTGGAAATGGACCTTTGCAGAGGTAGTGAAGTTAAAATGAGATCATTAGTCCAGGCAGTAATCCAATATGACTGGTGTCCTGATTAAGAGGGAAATTTCTAAATACAGTATTTGTATTTGAAAATTTCATACAATAGATTTTGATCACATCCACTGTAACTGATCTCAGATCCACTTCCTACCTCCCTGCCCCCTCCCAACTTCATGTCCTCTTTATTTTAAATAACCCATGGAGTCCAATTTGTGCTGCCCATATATTCACGGGTGTGGCCCATTCACTGGAGCATGGTTGACCTACCAGAAGCCACATTCTTTTTTTTTTTTTTTCCTCTTCCTCAGATCCTTAGTCCTATCATGTGGTCAGAAGTCACAACTGTCAATAGCTCCTCAATTAGAAAGAGGAAATTTTAACACAGAATCAGACATGTCAAAAGGAAAGTGATCATGTAAAGATAGAAGATTAACATCTCCAGAAGCCAAGGAGCTCCAAAGATTGACAATTAAACACCAGAAGCCGAGAAAAGGTTCCTATTGGTTTCAGAAGGAATATGGTTCTGCTAACATGGTGTGTACCTTTTGGCATCCTTAGGAATCTAGTCCAGTATTCATTGTGGCTTGATCTCAAAATTAGATAATAAATGGCATTGCACAAGGCCTCTGCCACAGCATCCAGTTACCT